GAAGGAGAAGAGATAAGGACGATATATGTTTGATTGGACAGAAGGAGCAAACCACACCAGAGCACTCGCCAACCACCCACGTGTAGCGCCACAAGAGGTAGCTGCACCGGCGTCTAGAATGTGGAGGTTAGGCTCTAAGCAAAGTACACAGACAAACGTGCGAGTTCGATTCTTTTTCCTTAGTTTTTTCTTTAAAGTTTTACGGCACTTGCAACACAATAAGGTCACAAAAGTACTGAAGATTCGAGGTGTCACAAGAGAGTAACAAACACAAAAAAGAAGGAGGAGAGATAGAGATGATAGATTTCGTATAGAAAAGAAGGAGCAAACCACACCAGGGCACCCACCAACCACCAACGAGTTCAACTCCTTTGTGGAGATAGGTTTTTTGTCGAGTGTCTCCGTCAGTCTACATGTACGTTGTAACCCACTCAATCGTTTCCTTTGAGTAAAGAGAAGCACATCGACACAGTAATGGTCATTTAGTGGAAAAGTAAATAAGACAGACAGAAACAAAAGTGGGAAAGGAAAGAAGTAGGACCTACCAGTGGCGCCCTCCAACCACCCGTTAACCCACTCACTCAGCCAGGGTTGGAGAAAACAGCAGTCCCCATGGTTTTATGCACCCAGCATAATTTAGCTAAATTTGATAATTTTTTGCATAATTTCTGATTATTTTCCTTTATCATTCTTTGTTAAAAATTAACAGAATCGCATAGTTTTACATCTTTGGCCTCAGTTTGCATAATTTCAGAATTTTTCTTACATAAAACGACGGGGACAGAAACAGAAAGGGTCGAGGCAGTCCGTTTCCTCTGAGATCGAAATTACGTTGATGAGCGCGTAAAATACAATTTTTTTTTAAAAAGCAAAACTGGCGGCTGAGGGGATACAGACCGGTCAGTGACCTCAGAAATGACCGCGGTACGCTAATCAAAACCCGGACGCCCCTGCCCCCTGCCCCAGCCCTCGTCGGAGTCAACCTTCAAGGCCACACGACAAACCGGCCACGTGACCCAGGACAAACACT